ATGTCAGCATACTGTTCTTCAGTGCCACAGTTTCTTCTCTTGGAATAATAGATTTTTTAGTGAGAACAGGGGGCATTTATTTCCATTTCAGCAGTCTTAAATATGAGTTGAATTATAGATAATAAAAACCTTAATTAATTACCAGTCCTAGGCAATCAGTTAACCATCTTCTCTAACAGCATTATATCAGTATACTTCATAACACACACCTGTTTCTTTTAACTGCCTTTCATTCCACTAGTTTCCTGAATTAATGAGCAAGAATGTACTATGGTTATGTAGAGACCTCAGACAAACCTAAAATACTTGATCTGATATTATTCCTTAAATAAATGGTTTAAAAGAATTTCAGATGCTATTTCTACTTTCATGTCTGACTTAACTTATTAATAACAAATTTTCTAATGCTTTTCCATTGGTGGAAACTCTAAGACCCCCAGCTTCTGTGTTCTGCATTTCTACCTACTGGGCAGCAGTGAAATCTTGACTTGTTTTGTAAATATAGAATATCAGCAGCTCTCAACATGGTTTCACAAGAATCTGTGTTTGTGAAAGTACCACATGTTATTCGGATCCCCAGGTAGTGTTGAGGATAGTGATGTCTTCATTTAGGCTGCTATAACAAATATACCATAAACTGGGTGTCTTCTTTTTTCTTTTAAGTCAGAGGGTAATTGCTTTACAAGGGCTTCCCAGGTGGTGCTAGTAGTGAAAAACTTGCCTGCCAGTGCAGGAGACATAAGAGACACAAGTTCGATCCCTGGGTCAGGAAGATCCCCTGGAGGAGGGAATGGCTACCTACTCCAGTATTCTTGCCCGGAGAGTCCCCTTGGACAGAGGAGCCTGGCAGCCTAGAGTCCATAGGGTCGCACAGAGTCGGACATGACTGAAGCAATTTAGCATGCATGCACATGGTTTACAATGTTGTCTTGGTTCCTGCCAAACAACAAGGTGAATCAGTCATAATTATATATATACCCCCTCCCTTTTGAGCCTCCCTTCTTCCTTCCATCCTACACCTCTAGGTGAATGGGTGTCTTAAACAAAAGAAATTAATTTCTCACTGTTCTGGAGGCTAGGAAATCTAAGATGAAGGCACCAGCAGATCTGGTGTCCAGTGAGAATCCTCTTCTTGGTTGGCAGATGTTTGTCTGTCTTCTTACATCCTCAGATAGTGGAGAGCAGAGAGAGGGGCTAACTCTGTCCTGCTTAAAAGGACACTAATCCCATCCCGAGGGCACCACCCTTATGACCTAATAACCTCCCACAGGCTCTGTCTCCAGATATCATTACGTGAGACAGTAGGGTTCCTATAAATGAATTTGGGGGGTGGTGGGGAGTACACATGTTCAATTCACTGTAATTGGATTAGAAAATTCTATTTGTTAAATATGCTTTTTTTTTTTTCATGGAATGAGTGCAGGGCAATGCTTCACCAATTATTTACCCTCTTCCTATAGATGAAGTATGAAAAGTGGTAATACAGCAAATAAAAGGCAGTTAGCCAGGTACCTAGTGAGGTTTCACATATACTGCTTGGCCGATCTTATTAAATGAAAGTAAAGAATCATTACTCTCATAATCATTTAAAAAGTAATACTTCTATATACTTCCTACAACTCCCAACTAGAGCTATTTTAATACCCTTGCCCAACAAATCCTTTTTATTAATAATATAATTACTAAACTTTAGATTAATCAAACTAGTGTAATAAGAAAATTCCACCTTCTGTGTAGTGTGTCAAGAAGTTAGAGATAAAATTTTAGACACACTATAATTTTAATAATTTTAATAGCTCCCTTTGAGTTAAATATAGTTTTCAGGTGGCGCAGTGGTAAAGAATCTGCCTGCCAATGCAGGAGATGTTGTTCAATCTCTGGGTCAGGAAGATCCCCTGGAGAAGGAAATGGCAACCCACTCCAGAGTTCTTGCTTGGGAAATCCCATGGACAGAGGAGCCTGGTGGGGGTAAGTCCTACCAGGTTGCAAAAGAGTCAGATACAACTTAGTGACTCAACAAGAAGATAACTAAGTAGAAACAATTACATTGTTGCTACTAGAATATAAGTTCTAAGGACAATAAGTTAAAATGTTCAGAATTGCAATTATAAGATTTTGGCAAGTGACAAGTTTATTATCTAGTAACTTATATGTCAAGCCTAATAATTTATACCCCAACTCCTATATACCTGTATATGTACAACAAATATGAAATAGTCTCCTCCTCAATCCTCCTCACCAGCAGATATTTACTAGTTGAGAGTAACTCCATGGTTCTGATATTATTAAACATTGCAGCGCTTTTGTTCATAGGTCAGTAGATGGACATGAGTAGATGAGTAGATGAGTAGATGGACATTTTCGAAAATGAGTGAACCAAGCAGAAACTGTGAAGCAGGGAATTTACTATTGATCTCACTAGGTATGTCTGCTCTTTTGAAAATCCACCCACATAAGAATATGTAAAGCAGTAGTTCTTATACTCCTTTACCATACAGACTTCATTGTGAAAACAAGCATACAATGAAAAACCCAATACTGATAGCTTATGGTGAACAGTGTTGGATTCGTGATCTCCAAAGAAGAAGATGTAACTTTGGGACTAGGGACTAGTCTTGATCACTCAAGAGGTTTTGTATAGCAGAGTTTTATTAAAGTGAAAAGGGACAGAGAAATCTTCTGACATAGACATCAGAAGAGGGATGGAGAATGCCCCCCTCACTAGAGTTAGCAAGGGAGTTATATACTTTTTAATTAGTTATTATAATAAATCAAAAGAATGTCTCAAGTTAGTGAAAATTTTTCCAGACCCACTCCCACAATTTACATTTAAGGATAACAGGCTTAGAACTTAACTATAGAAAGATCCTACCAGACTCACTCCCATAATATACATTCTAAGATATCAGGTTCAAGCTGGTTTTAGAAAAGGCAGAGGAACCAGAGATCAAATTGCCAATATCCGCTGGATCATCAAAAAAGCAAGAGAGTTCCAGAAAAACATCTATTTCTGCTTTATTGACTTTGCCAAAGCCTTTGACTGTGTGGATCACAATAAACTGTGGAAAATTCTGAAGGAGATGGGAATACCAGACCACCTGACCTGCCTCTTGAGAAACCTGTATGCAGGTCAGGAAGCAACAGTTAGAACTGGACATGGAANCACTGGAAAAGTCCCTGATGCTGGGAAAGATTGAAAGCAGGAGGAGAAGGGGACGACAGAGGATGAGATGGTTGGATGGCATCACTGACTCGATGGACATGAGTTTGAGTAAACTCTGGGAGTTTGTGATGGACAGGGAGGCCTGGTATGCTGCGATTCATGGGGTTACAAAGAGTCGGACATGACTGAGAAACTGAATTGAACTGAACTGAAGATATCAGGATTAGTCAGAAGGTTTTCAGGAAGGAGAAACTGTCCTCAAGCAGGATACATTGTTGTTATACAGTCCCTAGTACAGAGTTTAAACTGAGTTGTTTGTTGCATAATTATCAGTTTGAGCTTTAAAGAAGAAGAAGAAGAAGAAGAAAAAACCAGTTTTATGTGACTAAGACTAAGGAATATAGAGGGGAAAAAAAAAAGTTTGTGCTTTCCTCCTTCTCAAGAACCCCAGACCCCTCTCTCCTCGGGAACCTCTGGACTTCTTGTCAACCTGCCTAGGAATTGAGTCTCTCAATACAAAACCAGAACATCGCCATTATATTATTCCTAGTCATCGCTTGTAAGTATAATTGGTAGAATTACTAGATTGGGGAGGAGTTGCCTTTGTTAAAAAGAACATTTTATTTTTTAAATCACAAGTTATTCGAGACAGAAGAGAAGATTATCAATTTATGAAAGCATTTGATACTTGTCTGTAGAGTTCAGAGAAATAAGTAAAATTCTTGCCTGGGGTGTGGGTCGGGGGCTGGGGAAAAATGACTCTTGATGTTAGCCTCCTGTGTCTATCTAAAGGCCAGACCAACTTTTATATCATCCATTCATTCTTAAAGCAGTATTTACTAAGCATTTCCTGTGTGAATGTACTACCTCTATGTAAATTACAAGAGTGTGTAAACTACATCGACTCTGCCTATGTACTGGAAGAGGTACTGGGAGGAGGTGGTGGGCTCATAACTGCAGATGGCTTTGCTGGGAACTTTCAAGGCCTCCAAATTGTCTTCAGGCTTCCTCTTTCATCTGTTACATCTGACTACTGCTTCCTGCTGCCAAATTCTTAGTGATATAGTTATCTACAAGAATTCTCTGCTTTGTTTATGGTGCTTAATAGTCCTGAACCTGCAATGAATAAGATGCTAAGGCAGTATGCGTTAAGGAGCTTCATTTATCTGGGAAGGTTCCACTTCTGTACTGTGGTAGGCATTATGGGTTATAAGAACAATCATTCTTATAGTTTGACTAGGTTTTATAGTCCAGGACCATGTGGCAATGCTCCTTTGCTTACTTTGGGGAATAGCTGCTCACTTTAGATGGGTGTCTTGGCCCTTAGGCATCAGAGGGAATAACGCGTCTGGGATGTTACAGTCTTCTCCTTATTTTCCCCACAGGAATCGTCATTTCAATATTCAATAGAAAAAAAATGATCTTTTGAGGGGGGTAGGATACTGTCTTTTGTAAAAACTACAAAGGCCCTTGTGAATTCTAAGGAAGTGGGAAGAGAAGAAGGCACGGATACAGAGTCAGCATGAGAAATGTTTGTGACAAAGTAGTGAGGATATTTGTCACTTGCACTAAACATCCCCTTCCAGCTTCCATTTTGGTTATTTAAAAATACTGGAATGCATTAAATTAAATCTCAAATTAAATTCCTTTGGGGAAAGATGTTGCCAGAAGATCTAATATGGGGTACTGGACAAGCATCTTAGGTGGGGACTCTGTATCAAAAATTTTTTTTTCCCATTAAAAACCTACATTCTTGCTATTTATACGGGTTTTCTTCTCCCTTTCTCCATCCTTTTTGTATCTGGTATTTCTCCCTCGACTCTTCCTTCTTTCCCAGGTGTGTTTGATAACTGCTCCCACACTATCAGTGACAAGGGCTGGGCCCTGGGGATCCGCTCAGGGAAGGATGTGGGAAGGCGAGATGCTCGCTTCTTCTTCTCTCTCCGCACCGACCGAGTGAAGAAAGCCACCACTGTGATGGGCCACAGTCGCTACCAGCCGGGCAAGTGGACGCACGTGGCAGCCACTTACGATGGACAGCGCATGGCCTTGTATGTGGATGGCACTCAGGTGGCTAGTAGTCCAGATCAGTCTGGCCCCCTGAACAGCCCCTTCATGGCATCTTGTCGCTCTTTGCTCCTCGGGGGGGATAGCTCGGAGAACGGGCACTCTTTCCGTGGACACCTGGGCACACTGGTCTTCTGGTCAACAGCCCTCCCACAGAGCCACCTTCAGCACAGTCCTCAGCAGCCACTGGAGGTGGAGGATTTGACCACCCTGCTACTGACCGCCAGTTTTGAGCCCCTGGAAGAACAGTGGGCCCCCTTTAGAGACGGGAAGTACCCACGGCTTGAGGTTCTCCAGGGCTTTGAGTCAGAGCCTGAGGTTCTGTCCCCTCTGCAGCCGCCGCTCTGTGGGCAGACAGCATGTGACAACGTGGAACTGATATCTCAGTACAATGGGCACTGGCCCCTCCGGGGAGAGAAGGTGATCCGCTACCAGGTGGTGAACATCTGTGACGACGAGGGTCTGAACCCCACGGTGAGTGAGGAGCAGATCCGTCGGCAGCATGAGGTGCTCAACGAAGCCTTCGGCCGCTACAACATCAGCTGGCAGCTGAGCATCCACCACGTCCACAACTCCACCCTGCGCCACCGCGTCGTGCTGGTGAACTGTGAGCCCAGCAAAATCGGCAACGACCACTGTGACCCCGAGTGTGAGCACCCACTCACGGGCTACGACGGGGGCGACTGCCGCCTGCAGGGCCGGTGCTACTCCTGGAACCGCAGGGATGGGCTCTGCCACGTGGAGTGCAACAACATGCTGAACGACTTCGACGACGGCGACTGCTGTGACCCAGACACGGCTGAGGTGCGCAAGACCTGCTTCGACCCTGACTCACCCAGGAGGTAAGGGACCGGGGTTGGGGGGTGTCCTGCTTGGAGGGTGCATTCCTGACATCATTTTATCTTTTCGGCTTCTGGAGACAAAAAGAGTGTTCACGCAACCTCCAAATAAAACAATTATCTACTCCACCAGATATCAGTGAACTTTCATCAAGTCCTAGATGTTGTGCTGGGTAATTAGGGACACATGGATGACTAAGATGAAAACACGACCCTTACCAAACGCAGTTTCTTTGAAGCACACAACTGTGGATGTGGCGTGAACTGTACATGCACCAGGTGCTTGAGATACAGGAAAGCTGAACGACTTTATCTGTCCAAGGAAGCCAGGGCATCTTTTCAGAGAACAAACAAGGTATGCATTGATAGACACAGCTCATACATGAGTTGGGAGACCCAGGTTCAATCCTTGGGTTGGGAAGACCCACTGGAGGAGGAAATGGCAACCCACTCCAGTACTCTTGCCTGGAGAATTCCATGGACAGGCTACATACAATCCATGGTATTGCAAAGAGTTGGACACAACTGAGCGACTAACACTTTGACTTCACTTTCACTCTTTTTACAGTCTTAGGTTTCCAGCAAAGTAGCACAAATTCATGAGGAGGCCCCATGTGTGCTTAGTCTCTGGCGCAGATCGAGTAGTTAAGCAGCTTTATGAACCTAAAATGTTCCACATCTAAGCACAAGCGCAGTCTTCCTTTTTTTGCTCCATTAAATTTCATTTTCCATGCAGTATTTGTAACAATCCCACTGGAAAGGTAAATCAGATCCTGTCACTTCCCTCCTTACATGTTTTCCTACTACACTTAGAATAAAATCCGAGCCCCGCTCCTGTCTCCTGATCACAACCTGACCCCTGTCTACCTCTCCAGCCTCTCCCCTACCCCAACCTGGTTCTCCACACCCACACTACACAGCCTCACAGACTCTCATCTGTTCCACTGAACACATCAGCCTTGTCTCTGCCCCAGGGCTTCGCACTAGCTGTTTCATCTTGGAATCTTCTTTTCCTTAATCTTCCCTTGATGAGTTTTCTCTTGTCATTCCAAAACCTATTTAAATGTCACCTCCTGGTGAGACCTTTCCTGATCGCCCAATTTAAATTGACTAGTCAATCTCTATTATGTCAACTAATTTAAATGATCTCCAAAACACTTACCACCTCTGGTGTTTTTCTTGTGCACTTGTTTATTTGTCTTTCTCTGGCCTGGAATATCAGTTCTTATTACATTCCCAGCGTCTAGAGCAGCAGCTGAAGCATATTTGTCTATTTTATGTTTATTTTAATGAATAAATGAATCTGATGTGTCATCTGTTGTGAGAGAGAAGCCAATAGGAGGATTTTTGCTTGGTGGTTGATGCCGGGGTTGAAGACTATTAGAGGGAGTTAAGAAAGGATAGAGGTGGGTGGTAAACTTGTTAATCTGTGCATATGGACAAGGGTTCCCTACTTATAACTTGTACCTTTGTATGAAATATAAAATGCCTCACACCTGAGCTAGACTGTAGTGTTGGTGGGAGTGGGAGGATTGGATCTTAGTTTCCACCCAATACCTGAATGACTGCCTTTGAATTTTTTGGACACGATTTGTATGGTAATTCATGGTCTTGTGTGTGGGCAGTCCTCTTGATGCCCCTATGTGTGGACGGTTAGAACCAATTAATAGATTCTCCTATATCTCAGACATGTGATGTCAAAGATGGTAAGATTTGCAAAGAGGGAACAGAGTTGAATTCCAGAGTCCTTGCTACTTAACCAGCTATGTAAATTGTACAAGTCACTTTTGGAAACCCAGATGTCTTGTCTGTAAAATGAGGGTGGTTGCAGTAATACTTGGCATTACCTATATCTTTGGGTTATTTTGTGAAGCAAATGAAATAAGGTACAGAAGCTGTGTTAGTCACTCAGTCCTGTCTGACTCTTTGCAACACCATGGACTGTAGCCCATTCATGGAATTCTCCAGGCAAGAATATTGGAGGGGGTAGCCATTCCCTTCTCCAGGGGATCTCCCTGACCCAGAGAATGAACTCGGATCTCCTGCATTGCAGGCAAATTCTTTACCATCTGAGCCACCAGGTAAACAAGGTATAGGAAAGTACTTGGTAACTGTAAAGTTTTCAAAGTACAAAAATTGTTCTCAACTACCATTAGTTATTATCATTATTAGAACTGACAGATGGGAAGCCTTTGTTTACATAATAATACCCAGGGAACTGATCATATTACCAGAAATATTTGCATAAGAAAGATTCTGTTTGGGTTTGGTTTTTAGATTTTGATAACCTTAAGCAGAAGCTAAACCTCACTAACAACACTGTTTGCCAACTCAGAATCTCCAGAGAGCTCTCCAGGCACATCAGGCTTGTTCTCATTTGTCTGCTAGCTCATTACAACAACACACTGCCTTGACTGAGAGAGATGTCTTTCATGGTACCTATGCATCTTTCTCCTTAGACTGGCCTCTTATCTCTCTGAATCTTTACTGCCACTGCTCTTACCCAGGGATTTATAACTTATTCCCCTTACTGCTTTAGAGTTGCCATGGTAACTTATCCTTTCCTATCTGTGGACCCAGACGTGTTTCAAACTTTCTTACCCTTACATGCAAAACTTGCTTTGCAGAATAAAAGGAACTATTCATACTTTTTTGGTTGGCTGTTGTTGTTTAGTTGTTAAGTTGTATCTGACTCTTTTGTGACCCCATGAACTGTAGCCCACCTGGTTCCACTGTCCATGGGGTTTCCCAGGCAAGAATACTGGAACGGGTTGCCATTTCCTTCTCCAGGGGATGTTCCTGACCCAGGGATCAAACCCGAGTCTCCTGCATTGGCAGTCAGATTCTTTATCACTGAGCCACAGGGAAGCCCAAATAAATGCCCTTGGTTAAAATATCAAATGTACCAAAGACAATTGTACCAAAAAATAAGGAATGGCATTCCTCTGCCTAACTCTTCCTCATCCTTCTCGACTCTCTAGCCTTGCGCCCATCTTTAATTATTTTACTTGCCTTTTTGGTAACAACCTCCATATACATATATCCAAACATGATATTTATAGTACATGATTCATCTATTTTATTTAAAAAAAATTTGGGGCGGGGAACATGCACATGACTTGCATTAGTTCCCTGACCAGGGATCAAAGTGACGCCTTTGGCAGTGAAAGTGCAGAATCCGAGCCACTGGATCAACTTATGTTCATCAATTTTAAACATTATGTTTAAACATTAATTTTAAATATTATGACTTGCTTTTATTAGAAAGATGAGAGTTTTACTTTTCTCCTACATCGCCTCTGCATTTTTTAATATAGTAATTGTACTGTTTTTAGTTGACTCACTTATATATATTTATCATATTGTGACTATAAAATATTTTTCTTTTGGTTGCAGAACAAGGTTCTGTTCTGTTACTATATTTTCTTTCTGGCATAGCTCTTCCACTTCCCCATACACATGTACCCTATCCCTTGAGTCTCTATTTCCTCCTTCCCTTCTATCTTCCTTCCTTTTTGATATCTTCATTTTCAAATGCTTTATCATATCTACAGAATAGATAAATAGATCTATAGAAAGTGTCTTTTTTTTTAAACACTCCTCTGAAGTTCTCCCTTCTAGTTCATTCCATTTTTCTCTCCTCTTCCAACTTCATCAGTTATTTTTAGTTCTGCTGTCCACTTGTTATCCTGAAATTTCTCATCACTGATTTTTTTTGGGGAGATTGGAGTCACTGTGTCCTGAATTGTATGAATACCTCTTAATTTACAGCTTAATTTTTTACTGGAAAACCTCCTTAAGTAACTTTCTAAGAAAGGATGTATTAGGTAACTTTTCCAGAAAAGCATTTCTCAAAATGCTTTTATTTTGTCTTTACCCAAAACTGATAGTTTGTCCTGGTGTAAAATTATGAGTTGGGAAACATTTTCTCTTAAATTTTCATTAATTGTCTCTAGCTTCTATTCTGATAATTATGTGTTTTAGAGGTGAATTTTTTTCCTATTAAAAATCATTTTGAATTTTTAGCCATGTTACTTTAGGGATTTTATGGTAATTTTTTTAAGGGTTGGCCTTTTATTCTTCTTTTGTTGATATTCAATGATCCTTTCAATTTGGACACACGGCCCTTGTTGTTGTTGTCATTGCTCAGTCATGTCCAACTTCTTGAGACCCCATGGACTATAGCATGCCAAGCTTCCCCGTCCTTCACCATCTCTCAGAACTTGCTCAAACTCATGTCCATTGAGTCGGGGATGCCATCCTTATCTCTGGCAAATTTTCTGAAATTATTAGTTTGATGTTTCTTAATTCTCTGATCTCTTTTTCCCCTCTGAAACTTCTGAGGATTGATCTTCTGAATTTATTCTGTCCTTTTTCTCTCATATGTTCTATCTCATTGTTATTTAGTTCTATTTTTTGGAGATTTCCTTGAGTTTATCTTCTAAATCTTCTGCCGAATTTTTTTTTTAATCTTCAGTTCAGCTCAGTCGCTCAGGTGTATCCGACTCTTTGTGACCCCATGAATCACAGCACGCCAGGCCTCTCTGTGCATCACAAACTCCCGGAGTTTACTCAAACTCATGCCCATCGAGTCGGTGATGCCATCCAGCCATCAATCATATATTTAAGACTTCACTCTGATTTTTCAGACTAATATAAGTCTGTTTTGAAGGATGCAGTCATTTTCTGAGGCTAAAAGTAAGATGAATTCTGAATTTTTTTCCCAGTGCTGTATATCTGATTCATCTGTAGTCAACTTTTATTTTTCCTTTTTTCCCCCCCTCTTAATTCTGATCTGTCTTTCATGCTGGTAGATTTTCTCAAGTGTATAGTGCTTATTCACAATAAGAAACACACTTTTATAGCCCTATTATTATGATTTAAAAAAGGATACTCATTTGTGAATTTCTTCTTTTAGGGGGAGAAACCTGAAGACAGTGGAGAGGATAGGTTTTCTTTTTCTCAGTTCCCTTATACTTATTTCATGTACAGACCTTTTATTC